TTATGCGCCGCATAAAGAAAAACCGATCGATTTGTTTGTCTCTTCTTCGTTGCCGTACTCCCGAACATTTTCTGATCACCGATGCCACCGGATGACGCAGCACTCTAATTTTAATCCCAAGCTAGCATGGGTGCCAAATGAGCATAACTACCATCACAAGCTTTTATATCTTCGATAAGAGACGGTATATCATCGATCAATGATACATATAATGAGATGAATAAACGCGTACCAATGACATATTCACATCCCGATTGATCTCGTTAATGATTTCGACGACAGTTGTAAAGTGCGATACGTATCTTCAGTGTATGCGCGTTCGTAATTACGTCTTGCGCATGTCAAACGACATTATGCGCTGTCTTAATTCACTTACATAGTGTTGATATATATTTGGGCAGACCTTAGGACTTCGACTAAACCTATCAACGCTACTGATTCTAGAGCAGCGAAACAGAAGTCTTATTGTAATACTAGTAGCGTGGTGCGTTCAAATATAGAGGTTGAACCACCGTTCCTTTGCTGAACATCTGTTAAGGCTTCATTTTACGGTTTCCAATCGCAGACTTGTTGACAGGCAAAATATACGATGAAGTGAATAGCACCATCACGAGATATCGTTTTCGTTTTATTAATACTTTGAAATTAATATTGATTTGAGCGAAAAGACATATCGCATACAATGCGATGTGTCGTTAATTTTAAAGTTGACTAAATGCAAGCAATACGAGTGGTCTAGCTACACACGTTTGAAAAAAGAGCAATACTAGGCGGCACGATGACTACGACATATTATGTTTGTAGATGGAAAACTCGAGTATACTGCAATGGTACGGGTTCACCTACTTTGTCGATATGTAGGTGCACGCGACGGAGCTTCACCTACACGTACGTGCAGAGAACGAAAGTAGACAAATTCGCATGCCAGATCAAGAAAGAAAGAGAGATGTAGTTCACATAACAAAGCGTATTCAATGAATCCAAACTAAAATTCTTCCTTAACTATATCTCACATACAAGCGCAAACGGTACGATCGGCTAGCCGCATATTGCACGTATCGAATGGAGAAATTTGCCGGTAAAAATAACGTCCCATATCTATGAATGACTAGGAGCCATTAGATCATACCGGTATGAACGTGAAACGTAAGGCTTGTACCTATGACGATCATAGTCACCATGCTTTTTCACTAATGTCAATATCATGTAACGAGATCACCCCGTTTAGGAAAACTCAATAGAGCTGGAAGCATCGTGAGCGTCAAATGCTGAACTAAGATATGATATTGTCAACATTCTCGATGACATCACCCTTGTCGATAGTAGGCGTGCGGCATATCGGCAAGACTCAGTTCTTCCAACATCGCAGTTTTCTTTCGATCTGCGGTGTCGCGTGAATACACCGACCACATGGTTGATCTGTTAAGAAGCTCTCAACGTCCTACATATTGAAATGCTAAGATACATCCGTTCCCTCGAAATCGATAGTATATGCCGCCCCCCAGAGGAAGTAGTCGTGGCAGCACCACCTCGGGTGCGAATTTTCTACAATGCGCCTCGTGTATCGCGTGGTCTTTATCTCTGATACGTGGTGAGCGTCGGTGCATAATGAGCAAGAGAAAGATCGGTATTTGCTCTACGGTTCCGACTCATAACTAGCGGGTTCTGCCGATTAATATACCGTATTATATTCCCTAGTATACCCTAATTTTTAAAAAGGGTATTGTATTAGGCAGGTTACACTATAAATCCACATGTTTCTAAAACAAATCTCTTGGAGAATAAACGACGGCGGCAGTGGAGTGGTGTAGCAGGCTGTCAGTTACACAAATTGCCCGGGTTCAAACCCAGCAGCGATCACACAGATAGAACCTCCATTGAATGGATCTGGAACCGCCACGTAAGTCCTTTTATTTCAGATTTATTGCAATGCACAGAAGAAAAGAGCTGCAAACACAAAAAACCCTATTCAACGACTAGATCGTCAAGCTCATCTGCAATATCAGCACCATCTGCATCATCAGGGGCTTCTTCGTCAGCACTCACCTATTTACTCAGAAAGAGTCCACCGTACACGTCGTGCTTGGCAATGTGCAAGTCGTGGTAGTCTACAGCGAACCCAGATGCGGCAATTGACTTGCGGACAAAATCGTTGGGGACAGCTTTCCATGAATTGCTGACCCACGCCACCACCTCCTCCACGCTCGGTGGCCGCGGGTTTCCGTTCTTGGTATACTGCACCCGATCAGATCTCTTCCAGTCGTCAATCACGCTCGATAGACAATATTTAAACGACTTAAATTTTCCGATGTTACCTGCCTGCAGGTAAGGCGTTAGACCTCCAAAAATACCATCATATCGACCTTCTTACTGATGCACTTCGCCTTGACGTCCTTCGCTATATGCGCTCGCATCGAGTCCCACACGATCCCTTTGCCGTCGCAGAAGTTCAGAAGCGCTGGAAACATCAATTCGATCCACTTAAGGAGAAGCTCACTGTTCATCCAGACACGCTCTTGATACGCAACGTAAACCGCGCTGCTCTTCTGAATCTGTTTTTTCGCGCCTTTCCAGATCAAAAGAGGTGGCAGCTTTGTCCCCGTGGCTGTGACGGTAAGCGCAACAGTGATCCGCATCGAAGCTAACCCTGTCGACCGCAAAACGACATGACGTGCGCCGGTAAAGTCCACAGTGTCGCGCCGCGGGTCTTCAAAGAATACTGCCGTCTCATCCATCAGATGCGTACCGCTGGGGTTGAGCTCGCTCTTCTTTGATGATAGGTACGTAAGAAATCGCACGGCACGTGTAGTGAGCTCGTCGTCAATTAGTACGGTGAGGTTGGTCGTCTGTCGGAGAGAGAGGCCATAGAGAGTCATGAAGCGAGCGAGCCACTTGTCCGATGCGCAGAATCCATCTTCGTCCAGCTCACCTCTAGCTAGCGCGCGTGCGGATACTTGAATCCACTGACGCGACACCTTTTCCTTCTTCGATCTCAGAAAAACGATTTGATCAAACAGGACATCCTCTACCTCGCCAAGCCGTGGGTGTCTACCGCCACCTGTCACACGCAGCTGCAGCGCCGGGGAGTTCGTTATGGCTTCGCGTTTCTTCCAACAGCAGCGAATCTGGGCCCCTGACACTTGCCACCCTCGCTCCGCTTGAAAGTGCTTCAATGCGCGCGTAGGAAAAGCCACCACCAGGACCTTTGATCCACTCGATCCTTTACCGCTTCTCGAGTTTGGTCTTGGAAACGCGCCTGGGTGCCATGGTGTGCACAAGAGGATGAAGGTCTTCAATGCGAATAGAGCTTTATATCTAGTGATTTTAAGTATGGAGGGTGAACGGGCTTTTCTAAGTAACCGCTAACAACCATTTTTTAAAGGCAATAATTGATCAAAAACATTTTTTTTACCATAACAATTTATGGTATACCAATGGGCACGGTATAATACTGTTTGTGTACCTTAAAATACGGTTAGGGTATTATATTCGGACAGGGTATTATATTCGGACTGGGTATATTATACGGCAGAACCCGTTATTGTATCCGAATCCCGTGTCGAAATAGGTAATGGCGCATAAAGTTGAGTGCAATAATAAAATTGAAATATTGATGCTTACATTTCTCATGCTTTAGCGGAATCCGAATTTGGCATCGTGCTGGGTGGATTCCGGAGGCCACGCTAGATCACGCTACCAATTTCACCATCGCGCTATATTTGCGCCGTCGCTGAACGCCTTATGATTGTCTCTAGTGGAATGCAAGCATCAGGTTGTGGTAGCCAGTTACAAAATATCTTGACCACGGCGGGATGCGGACATGTACCCATGCGAGTGGCACCGTTTTGATTAAACGACACAGCCAATCTGTTGCTTCGTTAATCCGATCTTAGTAAGGCATCATGCGTCGTAGAACGATGAAAGCGTTATCTCCACTTGTTGGATTTGACGACAAAGATGGTAGACGCGATGTTGTTGCAATAATGAGTCGAAAGGTTTCGCGAAATGGTTTGGCAAAAGCTGGTGAGAACTTTTCGCAGATAATGTGTACCCTGTTGACTGAGTGAATTCCTGCACCGAGCAATCTTCTAGAACACACACTGGTACAACTTGTATGGACTGACATGAAGGATCGGTTTATCAGCAGCGATCATAGTCCAAGTATGATCCAGGGTTGTTACCACGCTGTCGTCACTTCACTATCGATTTACTTCCATTTCCAAACGCACAATACTCTCAACAGGCGAACACCAAATCCGACGGTCAGCACATCCTACGATCATCACTACGACGGCAACCTTGGCTCGTAATTTTCATTTTATCTTCGGTCCCCGTTGCGACTGCCTCTTCGCACACTGGTACGGACGCCTGTTGTCCGTTGTTGTCACGGTTGTTGTCCAATTGCTACTGTAGTTGTTGTTGTTGTTGTAGTCTAGGATGCAGCAGCACTAAGGCAAAAAGCAGGGCCAAGACCATCCCGAATCGGTACGCTAAATAGTTCCTTCCTATTTGTCCAAAAATTCTAACAACATCACAATCCAAGAAATTTACACTTGTCAATGGACCCGATCGTTCCCAAGTTCCACTTGCTCGTGAACGATGCATCGTCCTCCTATTCGTGCCACTCTACGTGCCACGAGGTAGCGACCCACCCGCTTCTCCAGCGCCCGTCCGTGCACTGCATCACGCTCCAGCTCCATCATCAATCCCTTGCAACCAAAACCATCTCGCACGATAGCCCAGCGGCGTAGCGTCTGATCGCACAGCCTCAAGCTGCAATCATGTGTCGCTCTCGGTCCTCCTTCTTCGGTACGAGGGACCTCCACGCACGCCACGGCGCAATTCGGTTGCTTCCTTGTGCTGCGCTTCACTCCTTTTCTCCACTCACCCCAATCCGCTTTTCAATCGCTCCCGTCAGCATCTCCTTCTCGACTTCGTTAGCCGATCAAAAGTAGCACCCGCGTCAACCATTCCACCGAGCGACTAACCGACCGATGCGGTTAGTTCGTAAACGTGTAGCAAGCGCGGCCGGTCAAAACACTCGGGTCGATCTTCGAGCGCAACGGCGGAATCGAGTACACGTTCGGCGCTTGGCCATTTGCGACATTGAGTGGCGGCAGACGAAAGACACCAGCACCGCGTTGCTGCACAAATAGTTTCCGCTCCTCCACTTCGACATCGCGCATGGGGGACAGCGTGTTGTTGCGCATACACGTCGACGACAGCGGCAGCGGAGGAAAGCGGCTCTGCGCGCTTTGGTAGCTCCTGTCAGTGATGGCACTGAGTACACCGCCGAACTTGCGCACCGGGAACGGACTGCCATCAGGAGAGGCCCGCAATGGACTCAGTCGGACTTCGCTCTTGTGGCCGCTCCACTCGGGACTGGCGTGGCAAAAGCCGCTTGGGTCGTTGGTCCACTCCATGGTGCGAATTTTCTCGCTAAAGGCCACCGAAGCACACGCCACCAGCTCCTGCTTGACCCGCACGGGACTCGACATGTCGACCATCTCGACGTCAGGAGGCGACGACGGCATCGGCCGCGGCTCTTGCTTCATGACCTCATGGGACGCGAGCTCGGCCAGTCGAAAGAGCTCGCCACTGCGCGACGCTTCGTGTCCCGGCACGCCCGAGAGCGACCGCGTGGGGCTCACGGACGCGAGCTCTGCGTGGCCGTAGCGGGTACTGCAGCTGCTGGTTTCGTCGTTCGAGACGTACTCGAGCGCTTTGTACAGGTTCTCCTTCGTGGTGTAGTCGTCGCCAGTGGCCACGTGGTGGTGGCGCACGTCGTTCAAGTGCTTGCGGCCCTTGTGGCGCAGCCCCCGTCGCCAGCGACTGATCTTCTGGCGGTACTTCTGCGCGTGGGTCATAGTCTGCCGCGTGGTTTTCGTGCCAATGAACGCAGCAATGACCTTCCACGGTCCCGCTGGGTACTTCTCCATGGCCTCGAGGAACTTCTCGTGCTCCTCTTGCGTCCACATCTTGAGCGGTTGGCTCTGCTTGGACGAGTAGACGGTCGTCCCGGCCTTGGCTTCCGTCGGCTTGATCCGAATCAGTCGGCCCTCGCAGTTGGTCATCTCGAACAGCTCCTTGCGCACGTTGGCGGAAATCGTCATCTTCGTTCGCCTGCGCCCTACGACCCACGCAGCTGCATGCAGTGAGCACCGAGAGAGAGGAGGGAAAGGGAGAAGTGGCGTTCGTCGAGGCCTCTGCGCTTCCCTCGCCCTAGCGCCAGTTTCGACACGCAGCGACGACGCGAAGCGGGCGGAGCGAGCCAATCGGACTTTAGCGAGGCCTCCCACCCGTCTATTACTGCCCGGGGGTGGGGGGGGAGAGGGGCAGACGGGCCAGGCGAGGTGGCTACTGGATCCGCCCCGGCGCTGTCGTGGACCGACCCAATTTGGACGCGAAGCGCAGACGGGGCAGAATCGCCCTGTTTCTGGCCGTCGCGACGTTGCACGTGCGCGCACGCGCACTTGAGCGCAGGAGGCTGTCTCGGGCTGCAATGGCCGACCGTTTGGTGCTGTTTGACGTGACACGACGGCGTCGCGACGGCCGTCGAGGGACACACGTGCGTGGGGCACTCACGACAACTCAGCGATCGATTTGCCCGCTCGTTGTGTTCCTCTACATTTCTCAGGGACTCGACAGCGAAAAGAGACCCCGAGGGGGAACGAGGAGATCGAGAGACAGTGTCCATTTTCTGCGCGCGTGTCGACGCGTGTTTACAGGTAGCGTTCGCTCGTTCCTTGTGGTTTGTGGTGGACGCCATGCGGCAGTGCGCGTACGTTTGCATGCTCTCTCGCGCACTGGATTGCCAGACGTTCGACCTTTTGTAAGCCATCTTGACCGTCCATGCGGATGTTGAGGTGTTAAGGCTGACCTGTTCGGTTCGTACGATCGAAGCAGTCGGCCGAGCGATCACGTGCGTTGACATACGAAAACAAAGACGCAAAGAGACTGTGCGCACGCCATGGAAACTACAGGCATCAACAGTGTGTGTCGGCTTGACGTCGTGCGGTCGTGTATAGTCGCGCAGAAAGGAGCGGCGCTCGCAGTGTGCGAGAGGCTATCAGGATCGAGCCCGGCGCTGCCCATCGACAAGGCATTTACCACGTGAGGTAGTGCACGATCGTAGCCAGTGGCAGCTCTGCCGTCTGGCGGCTAAACATAGCACCGTGCGGTGGAGCGGGCTCAGCCCGAGCACCGTGTTCCGGGACAAGGAGTCACCACTTGACGTTTGGTCTCTTCGCCCACCACGAGATGGCGGCTTACGTAACGGATTTGCCGAAACTGGCTCAACTCAAGTGCACGAGTCCGTGTGGCGGGATCGAGATCCAGGAGCTGTCGACCCTTTTTTGACCGAGTCTTTCGTGGCCCCTCAGCGGCCGCTGGCAAAAGATTATGCGCGCGAGTTAGTCCGTCCCTCGCTCCGGCAGCGGTCATGTACTTGTCGAGCGCCGTACTCCACAACCGCGAGACGAAGCCAATCGTCTCGACTCTACATACACGCCGCGTTCGTCGAGCCGCAGCTGTCCGACATCGTCGGCGTCGCGAGCACGCAAAGCCGATCCGAGCGTTCGATTGACATTGAACCTTGCGGCCGTTCGGTCTTTGCACGAGGACGCTACTAGCGGCTGTCGCCGAGCCGATGGGTACGTGCGTTCGATAAAAAGCCGCAGTAAAGCCGCTCGGGTTGCAGTCACGGCCACGGCATTCATTGAGCTGCATGCAATAGTGCACGGTACAGTGAGGTGCTGGCTGGCTGTGCGGCATGTCTGCTAAATGCCGTAGAACGTGACAGGTACTACGGCATTTGTCTCGGTGTAGCGACACCTGAGCTCGGGACCGTGTTGGAAGCGAATTGCAGCATCGCTCGATTGACAGCGCACGCACTTGTTGTCCGTCGCGCGCAAGCGATCGTACTAGTTCACCCCGTAACACTGGCAGACGACTCGACTGTTCCGTGTTTCTCGGTTCGTCGGCTCAACGAGAGCTCGCGTCCGTCGTGGTCGACAACGCCGGTCGGTCTCTAGCCACTAGCTCTTCGACCGAGCAGTCCTGTTGTCTGCTTGTCAGAAGAGCCATGGCTGCTTGCGCCAAGCAGCGGGGACTTCGTATCCGACCGCCGCGCGGGCCCCGCCCGGGTCGGACCAGCGTACAATCGGCGAGCGGACCGTGGCCGTCGGCTCGCTGTGGTCCTTTTCTATCATTTCTGCCAGGTTTCTAACGTGCCCTTGCGCGGGGGCTAGGGGAGATGGGCAGAATGGGTACAGCCCGCCCTACTCCCTCGTCAAGCTGCCCAAAAGCGCCTCCGCCGCGCGTCGGCCTCCCCCACTGACCATCAGTTTACCTTTTTTTGGCCGCTGCGATGACCATTTCCCGCAACGTGTACAACCAGCTCTTCGAGCCTGCGCCCGACGCGTCGAGCGGCGGCAGCGGCAGCACGGAGAAGGTCATTCGTCTGCGACCGACCGAGGCCAAGGCAGGCGCAGTGGTCATGTCGGCCAAGAGCAAGATCCAAATGTGGACAAAGGACGAGCACGAGCGCTTCCTCGCGGCGCTAGAGCAGTTCCCGGCCGGGCCGTGGAAGAAAGTGGCCGACTATATTGGGACCAAAACGCCGCGGCAGACGATGACGCATGCGCAGAAGTACCGGCAGAAGATCCACCGCCGACAGCGCGGGCTGCGCAACCAAAAGAAGACGAGCAGCGAGGGCCGTAGTGCGCGCACGGGCGACAGCACGCCCCCCCTCAGCAGTAATAACAGCAACAGCAGCAACAGCAACAACAGCAGCAATAGCAGCAGTGGGAGTCCGCCACTGCTAAACACAGAGGCAAAAGTGAAGGGAGAGCCCACGGACCTGATCGTGTCGCCCTACGGCGTGGCCGAGCTGCAGCTCAAACCCGGCTCGGAGGCGGCCCTGGCTGCAGCCGCAGGCGCGACGAACGACCAGCTGCTGAACATTCTGGCGCAGCAGGCCACGACGATCCACGACAAGCCAGAGCTCGTGGACGCGGACCAAGCAGCAGCAGCAGCAGTGCCAGAGGCTGCAGCGGCAGACGACTCGTCGACGACCAACTTGCCGTCGCTGGCCGAGATCTTACACCTGAGCGGCGGGGAAGGGCAGACGGCGGCTACGGTGGAGACCGAAGGGGCGCTGTCTGCGAGTGAGCGGGACAGCGAGGCCAAGACGGCGGTCAAGATCGAGGCGGAGGCCACTGAGGTGGAGATCGAGGCGCCGAGCGTGTCAGAAGAGTGCAAGTGTAACTGCAAGTGCAGCGTGCATGGCGGGAAAAAAGAGGCTGTCAACGAGACGGCGGCGCAGCTTCGACCCGAAGCAATGTGACCGTGTCGGCTTGGACAAATGGTCGTTGTGCGTGGACGAGAAGAGCAGGTGACGGCGTAACTTGTGCGTCACCGAGTAATTATTGATAACAAAGCATCTTAGCGGCGTTTTGCCTCGCTGGCTTTTCGATGGAGCCACTTGCTCGAACAGTTAGTTGCTGACATAGTATCCTACAGAGCGCCGCAAGCGCAAACACCGTACGTGTCGTCGAGACAACGTCGCGGATTTTGTGGACGTTTTGGCCAATGGCAGCAGCTCCTGTTTCAGCGGCGGCAGAACGGCGAGCGCGTATCGCACGTGCTTATCCGGCGATAAACGGGGGAGATTGGGACACCAGAAATATTGAGATATATGCTTAGCAGGGGGTTCTGAAGTGTATCTTGCGTACTGGACCGGTGGTGGTAGGACCGCTGCTCGGTACGTGAACAGACAATTACACTCACTTCTCTCTCGAAGAGACTCTCTATAAGAGACACCCTCTATATGAGGGTCACAGTGTCGCCGAACATTTCAAACTATATAGGAAGTTGTTTACCGTTCTCTTTATAAGTGCGTAAGATACAAGACACGAAAAACACTCGCCCATTTGAGGTGAAAACTCTCTTTATATGACTCACTACCCCTGCTTCTGATGCTGAAAGAGATACGTGGCATATGATGTGACAGTTGTTCTAGCCGAAGATTTGCCTTAAACCTATTCAGCAACGTCGTCGAACCACAGACGTGACCTAGGGAAAGACATAGAGCATGTCATAACAGGCGAGCTTATGAGGCCCGTATTGCTGATGACGTCATGACGACAGATACTGAAGACGAATTTAATAACTTCGTAAGGCAATAGATAGGGAGAAATAAAATTCGATTTTCGTAAATACTCGACTACACCACTGATACAACACGTCTACCCAAGAACATCAAGCCCGTGCAATCAATGAGTTCAACAATGCGAGTATCCCTCTCTCTAGAGCAGAAGTACGAGGTCTTTCAACACTGCAAGGAACGTCCAAACCTTGCTTTTACGAAGTACAGACTTATGTGAGCATTCAGTTCCAGCACAGCATTGGTAAATCAACGGCGCATCGGCTCATGACCATGAAAGAAATCGACTTTGAGGGCTTTAACCCTAATGTAAAAACGAAACGACGTGTAAAGCATCCTGAGTTTGAGGAGGAGCTGCTGAAATTCAATCTCGAGCGCGCGAGTGACAAGTTATTTGAAGATCTGATCCTGGAGAAAGTAGACCGACTGCGAGTGAGCCATTGTAACGGGGTAGCCCGTTACATGATATTGTCGTTACGAATAAAATGACAATAAAGAATATTACGATGAATATTCTTTCAACAATATCACAAGCATGATGATATTGTTGAAGATGACCGAAGGGTCTACTCATTGGTTGATGTCGCGATGATGTCAACCCACCAATCGCTGCTAGACGCGCGCAATGGGTGGTGAGTAGACATCACCATACATTTAGCTACATTAGTATAATTAAGGCAGGACAAACAGAGATACAAGAGTTATAGGACTTAATTATATTAATAACATTTTTACTTTTCCTACGACTAGAGTCTTTCACCTTTCTTGTTGGATAGCTAAAGTAAAAAAAGGTCAAATTTTATATGAAATTAGTGGTATTTCTCGTTCTACCTTCCTCTGTGTAGTTCTACACCTAGCTGGGCACTGACTATCACCACAGTCAGTGATAGGAAACTCCGTACTGGTTTACCAATACGTAGTCGTCGGTGCCCCGTTACACCTGGTAGCACTTTGTAGTCCGTCCAAGGACCACACTCGCATAGCCCAACGTGAACATGTTGGACGAAGTCGAAGGCGACAGATTTCACGGAACCCGTGAAAGCTACTCTCATTTGAGCGATATCGAATGGAGTGCGATCAAACGAATGAGTTCGACCGTTGGCGAAGAATCTATCTGGGCCATGCTATCCACAAGGGATATAGACCAGCAGCATACCGTCATTAGCAAGTTCTTGCAACGAGAACTTGATGAGTCGCGAGCGCAGGTGACCTTACTGCAACAACAGGATCACCAGCGGAACGAAGAACTGAGACAGTCTCACTCCGCGCAGTCGACACGGGAGCGTCGACCGGGGTCTCTGAAGCTAGAGATCTCCAAGTATCACGGAGTCGAGGACGACTCCCTGTTAAGATGGTTCACCGAAGTCGACGATGCCATCAAGGCCCGTCGCATCGACGATGAGCGAATGCAACTTGCATTTGCTCAGTCGTACGTGGCAGGGGACGCTAGGGATTGGGCCCTGAATCTCAAGTTGCACGACCCAAAAGTGTTTGGGTCGTTGAGGATCTTCAAGACCCTGCCCAGCGAGACGTTTGAGCCCCCCAGGGCAGAGTTCAGGACACTATCTGAATTCCTAGGAATCAAACACGGTAAGCGTAAGGTTCACGCTTACGCTCAGCACGTACGCTACCTTGCAAGCTGCATGGTAGTGAACCCTGTAAGTGAATTTGTGTTGATCACAATATTCATTCAAGGGCTGTTCGATGGTCCCGTCAGGGACCACCTTTTCCGCGAAGAGCTAAAGACGCTCTCCGAAGCAATCTTCGCTGCGGAGCAGGAAGACTTTAGTGTGAGACAGGCTCACACTACGCTGACCCCCTTTCGTCCGCAGAGACGATCAGCGGTCGGAGGTCCAGAGCCAATGGACCTCTGTAATGTCGAGGGTGAGAAACCTCGCCCTGCGAATGACAAGCGATCGGTGAGATGCCATCGCTGTCATAAACTGGGACACTACGCATATGAATGCAGTATCCTCCGCTCAGAACCTCGCGGTGCTGAGAGCAGTAATCGTCCACCAGTAAGAAGAACTGGAGGGCGAGGGTCCGATGCTGTTGCAAAGCCGCAACAGCCATACCAACCATCAAAAAATGGTCGGGGTCAGTAGGGGCGGAGCGCCCTACTGATCCAGCAACATCAAGATAATTTGCAAATCTCTTGACGAAGGTTGCTCCCGACACGCAGTCCCTGTGTGTTTCTGCACTTGGTGATGAGGTGTCTCTCATCACCTTGATATTGGAAGTGACAAAGGACTTGTCACTTCGCGCCCTAGTTGACTGTGGGGCGTCGAACAATTTTGTTCGTCGCCAGTCACTAGAGGCAGGAAGTTTTAACTTCGTGGAGCGGGAGATCCCTCCAACGAGAATGACGGTGCGCCTAGCGACAGGCGTATCGATCAATGTGAAGAAACGTGTAGTCGGAATCAACTACACGTTAAAAGATGAACAGTACGATGATGATTTCATCGTACTCGACCTGGATGACAATTTTGATGTCATCCTAGGACTACCTTGGCTCAGGAGATACGAGCCAAGGGTGAGCTGGCAGCATCGATCAGTATCGATGCCTGCCACTTGTTCCTCAGATGACGATCTGAAGAATGTCTTGGAACGCACACATTTACGTGGGTGTACTACGAGCGAGTGCGATGGCCTCACTCGTGGTACGGTCGTTAGCGCGACTGTACAAGAACACAATGTAGATGATCAATACATTGTGTAGAAAGCTCACCCAGATCCTGTGGAAGTGATTTCCCAGGAGGTAACCGAGACAGTTAATGTCTTGGTTAATGATGGATCAAGCGTAGGCGCTTACACGCTTGATCCGGTTGCGCCTCCGAAACTAACTTCGGAGATAACTCAATTGCCGACGCTAGAACCGAAACGGTTCTTGCGTGATCTGCGCAGTGGCAAAGTCAAGCAGATCTGTGTACTCGTCGCGGAGGACGAGTGCGTTACCGATATTCGATCGGCAACGGTGTTTACTGAGACCGAGAGGATTCTAAGCAGTTCACCGATGGACGAAAGCGTAATCGATGAGATGACTCGGATTGAGAGATATGAATCTCAATCATGGAAGTCGCTCCAAGCAAATCCTTTGTATAAGGATTTGATCGAATTCAAGGATGTATTCCCTGAATCCGTGCCATGCGAGTTGCCTAAGGACAAAGGCACTCGACACGAGATCGAGCTCAAACCGGACTCGAAGTACTGTGACATGAAGCAGTGTCTACTGCCTCGTGAACAGGTTCTAGCGATAGACAAGTTCTTTGCTGATCTCTTTGCAGCGGGCCATGTGAGGGATTAAACTTCCTCTCACAGCTCTCCGACCTTCTGTGCGAAAAGCCACAGGAGGATGGCGGATAGTGCACGCATTCAACAAGTTGATTGCTGCAACGGTACCGGCTTAGACGCCGATACCGAGGAAGGACGTAATCATAGATGGTATGTCAAATAGTACCATCTTTTCGTCCATGGATCTGATGGACGGATTCTATCTGTTCCTCATGCGTGTACGGGACATACCGTACACAGCAGTGAGCACCCCCAGCGGTATGCTGTGGGAGTGGCTAGTCATGCCACAGAAGCTGAGTATGCCCCTGCAACGTTCAACAGATGCGTTACAAATCTGTTGAGACCGGTGCGAGACTTCGCAACAAGTTACTTCGACGATGTGTTTGTCCATAACCGGTCGATGGACGGAAAGACGGACATTGAGGTTCATAGAGCTCATGTTCGTCAGGTTCTTCAACTTATGCGCAAGCATAAGTTGTATGCCAATCTCAAAAAGTGTATATTCGCGGCAAGCGAAATGCCACTTCTTGGGTACATCGTGGGTAAACACGACGTACTCCCTGATCCTGAAAAGATCAAGGCGATCACCGACTGGACCGTGCCAGTCGATGTAAAAGGACTTCGTAATTTCCTTGGGCTAGCGGCGTACTTACACAAGTACTCGCTCAATTACGCCGTGATGACTGTACATCTTTCTTGCTTGCTCAAGAAAAATGTGAAGTGGTCATGTAACGCTGACTGTCAGCGTTCCTTTGAAAGTATCAAAAAAAGCTTGATGCAATCGCCCATCTTGGCGATTGCAGATCAGGACAGACCTTTTCATGCGGTCCGTGACGCCAGCGATTTTGCTATCGGCTGTGCGTTGATGCAGTATGACACAGACGGAGCAG